CCACACCGTGCTCCAGCTGCCTCCACCCCGTGCTCAGCCCCTCCCTGAGGCTCTAGGGCTAAACCCAGCTGGTTTGGATCTGGATCTAGGGCAGGACCAGAGCAGGACCTTGCTGCGCTCCTGCAAGGGCATCCTGACTGCTCATCCTGGGGGCTGAGGGGGCCACATATTTATCTTCACCTTATCTTTATCTTTATTTTTATCTTTATCTTTTTCTTTATTTATAGACATTTATTTTCTATATATTTCTATTTATATTTATTTTCATAAAATATATTTAATATAGATAAGGAGAAAGAGCAATAGAGATGTATGGAGTGAAAAATTGTGCCCGTGCTGTGGCTGCACCACAGCCAGCAGAGAAAGCTCCAGATTTGTCACCAAGGCAGGTGTCACATCCATGCAGTGTCCATCCACATGTCACCTTCCAGCCAGGACCAGGAGCCAGGATGGGAGCCCTGAAAAGGGCATTTCTCTGGGGATGAAGGGCTGGGGAGTTTGGGGACACTCACATTATGATATGGTGATGTGGTTTTAGGAGGGTATCCTTGGGGTTGTCCCATCTCCACCTGGCTGGGACCCCTGGAGAACCACCCATGCTTGCTCAGGGATGTTCACCCCATCCCTCCTTGCTCAGGGGTGTTCACTCCATTCCTCCTTGCTCATGGGTGTTCACTCCATCCCCATTTGCTCAGGGGTGCTCACTCCATCCCCGTTTGCTCAGGGATGTTCACTCCATCCCTGCTTGCTCACGGGTGTTCACTCCATCCCTCCTTGCTCAGGGGTGTTCACCCCATCCCTCCTTGCTCAGGGGTGTTCACTCCATCCCTGCTTGCTCAGGGATGTTCACCCCATCCATCCTTGCTCAGGGGTGTTCACCCCATCCCTCCTTGCTCAGGGATGTTCACTCCATCCCTGCTTGCTCAGGGATGTTCACTCCATCCCTCCTTGCTCAGGGGTGCTCACTCCATCCCTCCTTGCTCAGGGGTGTTCACCCCATCCCTCCTTGCCCAGGGGTGTTCACTCCATCCCTGCTTGCTCAGGGATGTTCACTCCATCCCTGCTTGCTCAGGGATGTTCACTCCATCCCTCCTTGCTCAGGGGTGCTCACTCCATCCGTCCTTGCTCAGGGGTGTTCACCCCATCCATCCTTGCTCAGGGGTGTTCACCCCATCCCTCCTTGCCCAGGGGTGTTCACTCCATCCCTCCTTGCTCAGGGGTGCTCACTCCATCCATCCTTGCTCAGGGGTGTTCACCCCATCCCTCCTTGCCCAGGGGTGTTCACTCCATCCCTGCTTGCTCAGGGATGTTCACTCCATCCCTGCTTGCTCAGGGGTGTTCACCCCATCCCTCCTTGCTCAGGGATGTTCACTCCATCTGTCCTTGCTCTGGGGTGTTCACTCCATCCCCGTTTGCTCAGGGATGCTCATTCCATCCCTGCTTGCTCAGGAGCCAAAGCAGGAAGGATCAAACCCCGAACGTGTCCCTGGCTGGATTTGGTTTAGTGAGAACACCTCCCTGCTCCGTTCCCCGGATCCCAGCACACCTAGGAGCGCCCAGCTGGCTCCCCACATCCCCGAACCCCTGAAAAGCGGCTCTATGCCTTTGTTGGAGGCTCTGAAAGCGGCTTTTTTACTCCTGAACATCTGTGCCTCGCTGGGCTCCGGCGGCTGCGCGGGGGAAAATTCATCCTTTGTTGCTCCTCCGCCGTTTCTTTGCCGGGCTTGGGATGGAAGAAAATCAGCTCGTGTTTCTGCCTGCCTTCCCGGTCACGGCCGCGCCGGGGGCTCTGCACCGGGGCCCGGGCACTGCTCGGACTCGGTAATGACAGCTCAGCCCCGAGGGGAGGGGACAGCCTGGGAGGGGACAGGGTTTGGAGAGGGGTCAGGGGTTTCTGAGGGGACAGGGGCTGTAGGGAGGGGACCGTGTCTGTGTGAGGGGACAGGGGTTTGGAGAGGGGACAGAAGTTTGGAGAGGGGACAGGGACTGTGGGAATGGGACACGGGACTATGGGGAAGGGAGAGGACTGTGAGTATGGGACCCGGGCTGTGCAGAGGGACCAGCTGGGGCCAAGGTGAAAGGGGCTCAGAGCGACCCCCCCAGACTCCCCCGTGCCTGTGAGTATGAATGCAATCCCCACACTCACTGGATTTGAAATTTGGGGTGCCTCGATGGTTTTTTGGGACGCTGCACCCGGCTCCAGGCTTGGCTGGGGGCAGGGTGGGGACATCACATGGCACAGGTGACATTTGGGACAGATTTGGCCCCATCCCAAGAATTCCCCCTACTGCTCTCAAAAGACGATTCTGGCTCTAAAACCAAACCTGTGGTTATAAACTCGAAGTTTGTCCCAAAATTAAAGGTTTTAATGGAGAACCACTTTACGCAGTCCATTCCAGCCGCCAGTTTGATGCTCTCCCACCCTTCCCACGAGGCTGAAGCTGCAGCTCTGCCACCTCTGGAGGATGTTCCGGCGTGCCCGGCCCGGCTGCGGAACCTGGCTGGGCTGGCCTGGGCGGGGCGGGGAAGAGGCAGATCCGTGCTGGGGCAGGGGAAGGGCTCGGCTCGCTCCTCCCGCCCGGCTGCGGAGGAGCACGGTGGGATGGACGCCCCGGCTGGGGACCCGTGGGATGCTGGAGCACTGTGGCCGTGGAATGAACCCACCTGCAGAGCTGTTCCCAGCTCTGGAGCCCCCGATATTAAGGACCTGGAGCTGCGGGAGAGAGCCCAGAGGAATCCAGGGAGCTGCTGCAGGGCTGGAGCCCCTCTGGAGCCAGGCTGGGAGAGCTGGGGGTGCTGCCCTGGAGAGGAGAAGGCTCCAGGGAGAGCTCAGAGCCCTTGCAGGGCCTGAAGGGGCTCCAGGAGAGCTGCAGAGGGACTGGGGACAAGGATGGAGGGACAGGACACAGGGAATGGCTCCCACTGCCAGAGGACAGGGCTGGATGGGATCTTGGCAATTGGGAATTGTTCCCTGGCAGGCTGGGGAGGGGCTGGGCTGGAATTGCCAGAGCAGCTGTGGCTGCCCCTGGATCCCTGGCAGTGCCCAAGACCAGGCTGGACATTGGGGCTGGGAGCACCTGGGACAGTGGGAGGTGTCCCTGCCATGGCAGGGGTGGCACTGGGTGGGATTTAAGCTCTTTTCCCAATCCAAACCATTCCATGATATAAGGTGGGCAAATCTGGGGCATTCAGAGCCCTGAGGGGAGAGGTGGCAGTATTAAGGAAGGGAAAAAGAGAAAAAGAATAATAACAATAAAAAAAAATTAAAAACCACCCCCACCTTAATCACCTGAACTGCCCAGGGAAGGGAAGTGCCCCGAAGCAGAACAGCACCAGCTGAAACTTTCCTTTGACTTTTATAATTACAGAATAGAAAAGAAATCCTCGATTCACGTTACAAAGACGGGCTCATAGAAAACCAAGCCAACGGAACAGAAACACCCAAGGTCCCAGAGCACCGTGCCCGGCTCCTGTGGAGCCCAGGGGAGTGGGGAAGGCTCTTCCCAAGAACTTTAATACCAGCAAGCTCTTCCTGCTGCTTCCTGCTGGGTTTGGGAAGGGCTGGGAGCAGGGGAGTGTGTGCCTGTCCATCCCATCCCATCCCAGAGCATCTCAGTGCAGCATCCTTGGTCCTGGAGAGGAAAATAAACCCCAAAGATGCTGCTGGCTCCAGGGCTTGGGGATGGGGATATGTTCTGAGGGATGAGGGGGATCACTGCCTGAAAAAACCACAATTCTCCATGGAAAAAATAGGGGAAAAGGGTGGAAAATTATTGCCTGTAGAGTTCACAGCTTGGCTGGAGGTGGCAGGGGGCTGTGAGGGCTCAGCCCATCCCAGCTCCAGGCCCTGGCACTTCCAGGGCTCCATGTTGGGAAGGGCCAAAAAACCATTCCAGGGTGTAAAAAATTCCCCTGGCACTGGAGGAGAAACAGCTGGGAGGTGAAATCCATCCAAATTCCCAGCTCCCAGGGGTGCAGGGTGAGTTTCGGAGCAGATCCAGGGATCCTGGAGGAGCCGCATCCCACGGAAAGGAGAGCGAGGAGGTTCTGGGGAGCTGAGACACTCCAGGAAACTTATTTTTTTCCTTTCAGTTCCTTCCAAGGCTTTTTCTTCCCAGCTGATCTTCCTTCTGCAAAGCAATCCCTGCCCAACCCACCTCACACCCCCAAAATTCCTTCCCCCCATGCCGGTGTCCCTGTGCCGCTGGAGCTGAGGGATGAATTTGGCACCGAGCCCCCCACGGATGAAGGGACCAGGGAGGAGCCCCCAGCCCTGGGCCCTGGGGGTCCCAGCGATGCTGAAGGCACGGTGTCAGCCTTGGGGGGGCCCGGCTCAGCCAGAGTCTACTCAGGCACTTTAAATTAAATTAAAACCCAAAGAAATGATTGGAAAAAAAAAAATCCCAAAGCAACCCGAAACATTCATCAGATCCGTTCGAAGGGCTGGGAGGGGCTGGGCTGCAGCAGCCTCGCTGTCCCAGCGCGGAGCAAGGCCCCCAGAACGTGGCAGGGAGGGGGTGCAGGGGGATTTCGGGGTCCTGTTGTCCCCCCATGTCCCCAAATCTGGAGGTCGAGGCGATGCTGATGGACGGATCCAACTCCTCGGAGCATCCCAGAGCGAGCCCCTTCCCCGCTGCTTCATCCCAGCATGGGGGGCTGGAGAATTCCTGCCGGGAGCACAGTCCCCGCTTTTGGAGCCAGTCTGAGCCAGATCCGCAGTTTCAGGAAATTGTCCCAACCCCTCCTGTCCCCAGGGCGGTGCCTGTCCCTGTCCCGAACCCCCTCCGCTGCTCCAAGGAAAAGCCAGACTGGGAGAGACAGATCCAGCGGTGTCCCGTGAGCGCTGCCACCTCCGCGCTGTCGCCGTGTCCCCGCCGCGGGCAGGGGGGATCCGGGGGGTGGCACAGCCCCCGCGGCTCCCGGCTGCTCGTGGGATGTCCCGGGGCGCAGGAGGGGTGGGGCGCTCGCCGTGGTGGCCCCGTCGCGCCGGGGGTGGTGGCATCGGGGGTGGTGGCCCGCGGGGTCCTGGCGCCGCTGGCTCCCGGTTATCCCGAGCTGGAAGAGAGGGGACAGCAGGCGTTGGGAGAGACCCCCGGCGTGGGGACAAAGAGGGGACAGCAGGCGTTGGGAGAGACCCCGCGGCGTGTCCCCGCGTGGGGACAAAGAGCCGCGGCCAGCGAGGGGACAGGGACCTCTCATGGGGTCACTGCTCTTTTCCACCCCCAAAAATGTCAGAGAGCGGCTGGGGAGCAGGGCTGGTGTCCCCTCACATGGGGACACTGTGCTCTTAGGGTTCATTCCTCTCTCTTCTTGTTGTGTCTATTCTATTTTTATTTTTGGCTTTCGGTTTTATTTTTATTGTAATCAGCATTGTTATCATTGTTTTTATTAATAATTTTGTTGTTGTTATTAATATTAATAATAATAATACAGTTGCTACTGCTACTATTGGTAGTACTATTATTCTTCTTGTTATCTTTTGCTTAATTGCAATTATTAGACTGTTGTTACCCCACAGGTTCTCCCTGTTGCTATTTTTATTTTTATTTTTATTGATAATAATGCAGCTCCTCCTACAACTATTACTACTGCTACTACTAATATTATTCCTGCTATTATGTATTTTTAATTGCAGTTATTAAACTATTGTTACCCACAGGTTTTCCTTATTATTGTTGATATTTTTCTTATTATTAATTGTAATAATACAGCTCCTCCTCCTATTATTATTCTTGTTATTATATTTTTCTTAACTTCAATTATTAAACTGTTGTTACCCCACAAGTTCTCCCTATTATTGTCGTTGCTATTTTTATTTTTATTAATAATAATAATACACTTGCTACTACAACTATTACCACTATTACTACTGCTATTATTCTTGTTATTATATTTTGCTTCATTTCAGTTATTAAACCGTTGTTATATCACAGGTTTTCCTTATTACTGTTATTATTATCAACAGCAACAACAACAATACTAATAACACTAATAATACTACTAATAATATTAATACTACTAATAATAATGCTATTACTATTTCTATTATTCTTGTAATTATTCCTGGACCTCCCCACGCTGCCGTTAATTCAATCACAGCTAATTAGAAACTGCAGAATGAGCTGTAATTGCTGCAGCCCGGCTGGCCCTGGGGACACGAGTGACCCTGGGGACACTGGTGGCCCCGTCGCGACAAGTGACCCTGGGGACACAAGTGACCCGCCCCACAGAGCCAGGCCAGCCCTTGTTTGTCCCCTCACTGGTGAGGGGAGAAGTGGGACCCTGCTGTCCCCTCCCTGTCCCTTCCTTTGGGGACAGGGACACCCCTGAGTCCCTGAGCTGCCACTGCTGACAGGGGGATGGAGGGACATGGAAATGACAACTGCATTAATTAATCAGTGGGTCATTAATGAGCTGCTGGGGACAGGGGGGAGCTGGCAGGGCGGTGACAGTGTCCTGGTGTCACCCAACACCCCAGCCCGGGTCCCTGGCAGCCGGGCAGTGCCAGGGGGACACTGGGATTGGCAGAGGGCACAGGGAGGGTACAAACTCCCAGGACAGGGACAGGGACTGGCACAGGACCCGAGGTGTCCCCCCCTGGTGGGGACAGCCTTCTCTGCCAGCAGCTTTTGTGTCCCCTGTGTGTCTAAAACTGCTGTTCCCAGCACTTCAAATCCATTTTTCAGCTGATTTCCCCAAATCCTGCAGCTTTCAGCACTGACCCCACAGCCATCGGGGCGTGCTGGGCCTGCAGCACCCCTGGCACCCCCTGTGCCCGGGGGGTGACACACGGGGGTCAGGGTGGGCTCCCCTGTCCCTCTGCCCGTGGTGGCTTTGCCCAGTCCCACCCAGGCAGGGCTGAAGGGACACAGGGGACACGTCCCCTGTGTGGGACAGCACTGCTGGGTCCTCCCAAGTGGGGGAGGACACGACAGTGACCCCCAGGATGTGGGTGCTGGCACCGGGAGGTGCCAGTGTCACCATCCATGTCCCCATCTGTGTCCCACCCACACCCGGGGGCTGGGGGCTCCCAGGGAAGGACCAGCCCCGTGCAGGGGGGCACAACACCCATGGGTGCTCCCCTCCACCCCATCAGTGTCCCCAGGGAGGGCCTAGCAGTGTCACAGATGGATTTGTCCCCTCCCGCCCCTCTCTGCCTCCTTAATGGCATCGCCTGCCCTTGAATTTGCATACAAGGCTTAAAATATAATTAATTTTTGGCAGCGGGCAGAGCCTGCTCGAGGTTAATCCCTTTAGATTTGCGAGCCTTATCTCGCTGGAGTGTTTATCGAGCTCGGCTTAGCGGGGAAGGCAGAGCGAGGAAGAGTGGGCTGCGCTCATCTGGAGAGCCGCTGCTGGCCCGGGCCCGGCGGGGAAGCTCAGCGAACAAAACGCAGCAAACACAAACCGCGAGCGGGATCCGCCCGGAGCGCCCAGCCCTGCCCGAACGGAGCCTCGGGATTTTGGGGGGGGATGCACAGCCCCGGATCTGAGCTGTGACAGCGCCGTGGGCACACTGAGGGTCCTGCGGCCCTGAGCACCCCGGGACTCACGTGTAGAGCGGCTGTAGCTGCAGGTGCGACGTCTTCTGGGGTGCCTGGTACCCGTAGGAGTCAAAGCCGCCGATGAAATCAACTGGGGAGAGCCGGGAGAGCAGCGGTGTGAGCCGGGAAGGGCAGCAGGGAGATCCCCGTGGGGTGGGGAACATCCCGGGCTGCAGCTGCCCCCAGGGGAATGTGACACCCCAGGGAAATGCCACTGCCCAGTGTGCAACTGGGAAGCCCTCAGAGCCCCTCCAGGGCCTGAGGGGGCTCCAGGAGAGCTGCAGAGGGACTGGGGACAAGGATGGAGGGACAGGACACAGGGAATGGCTCCCACTGCCAGAGGGCAGAGCTGGATGGGATCTTGGCAATTGGGAATTGTTCCCTGGCAGGCTGGGGAGGGGCTGGGCTGGAATTGCCAGAGCAGCTGTGGCTGCCCCTCGATCCCTGGCAGTGCCCAAGGCCAAGCTGGACATTGGGGCTGGGAGCACCTGGGACACTGGGAGGTGTCCCTGCCATGGCAGGGGTGGCACTGGGTGGGATTTCAGGTCCCTTCCAACCCAAACCATCCCGTGATTCGGTGATCCTGAGCCACCACAGCATCCCGAGGAATCCCGGTGCTGCATTCCCAAGAGAATAAAACAGAACCACAAACTGGATCACATCAGAAGGGACTGCTGATGGTCACCCAGCCCAACCCCCCACTCAAGCAGGGTCACTTGGAATTCTGTCCAGGCAGCTTCGGATACCCCCAGGGAAGGAGACTGCACAGGCTCTCTGGGCAGCCTGGAACGGAGCATCCAGGGAGGCACAGGGGCACCCCCGGCCAGGGCTTCACCCCAGGGAACAGCAGCCGGGATGGTGGCAGCATCCCAGGAAAACACCGGGGACAAGGAGCCGGAGCAGCTGCCGCGGTGGCAGCGGTTCCTTCCCTTCTCGTCCGGCACAGCCCCGTGGACTGAGAGGCGCGATTCCCCCACTGCCCGTGCAGTGGGCATTTCGGGAGAGTTATGGGGGAATTGGCGCTCCTTTGGGGCTGGCACCTCGGGGGATTGCAGGCACGGTAGATCAGCTTTTTCCGCTGGGGTTTCCAGCCTGGATCCTCATCCCACTCCTAGCCTGTTCCCGGGGGCATCAGAGCCCGGCCCCTCATCCCGAGCGGTGCCAGGGCAGCCCTGGGGGGCTGCGGGTACCCTGGGGGTGCCCTGGGTGGGTGGGCATGCCTCAACTTCTCCCAGATGACCCCGTGTTTCCCCAGACCTGACCCTCCTCCCCAGCACAGGGATGGACTCCAGGTGCAGCCAGACTGGGAATTCCACCTTTGCAGGATCCCCAGCACCACCCAAGTCCCCAAATCCCACACTGGGGTGGGCTATCCCTGGTCCCTGTCTGAGAGCTGAGAGCTCCAGGGCAGAGCCCCTCTCCCCCGGAATATTTCCCTTCCCAACTCAACATTCTGCCAGCTCTTGATTTTGATGCCATCCATCCATTTCCAAATCTAATAAGATATTCCATTAAAAAGATGCATTTGTATGCCGGGCTGAGGCAGCATTAATATTAAAATTGTGTTGGATGCGGGAGTTTGTGGGAGTGCAAATGTGCTCCAGAGCCGTCAGTGCTGGATAAACCCTTTGGAAAGGAGCTGCTCCCCGAGGCAGCAGCCAATTCCCCACGGAGATGTTTTATTTCCATGGGAAAGGAGGGAAAACACGGGGGTGCTGCAGCCCCGGGCTGGGCTGGGACCACCTGTGGGTCCGTGGAGTGGGGGGTGCTGCTCCCGGTGCTGATCCCGGTGCTGATCCCGGGGAAGGAGCACACCAGGGTGGCTGTGGCCCAGCCCTGCTGGGATCTGCCAGCTGGTGGGAATTAATTAATGGCAGATGAGCTTTTAATGCACTTGGACAGCCACAGCCTCGACCACCTGGTTCAGTGGGGCTGGGGTGCTTCCCGAGGGGGTTTGCAGGGAGCGGGTGGGATCAGGGGGAGCAGTCCACACTGGATAAAGTTAGCCTTCACTTTGCCTAAAATGCTGTTTTCCCCCTGGTTTGGGGTGAAAACCGGGCAGTGGGGAGGCTGTGGGGACACAGCCCGGGGGACACAGTGGCCCCAAGTCGCTGTGGGTGTCACGGGGAGGGAGGTGACAGCGGCCCCATCACACCCCAGCACCTCTGCTTCACCAGGGATGGGAGAATATGGCAAAAACCCAACTAAAGGGATTTCCTCAGCTGCCTGGGACCTGGGCATTGCTTCCCCAGCCCCCACTGGGAGCTGCCACCCTGCTCAGGGTGGCACCACCGAGGACACTGTGCCCCTGTCCCCCCCAGCCAGGGCACTTACAGCTGTCCTCCTCCTCCAGGAACACTTTGCTGACGTAGCAGGCGTAGACAAAGCCGAAGAGCTGGGGAAAAACAGGGCAGGGAGAGGCTGGTTATGGGGTCATGGGCAGCACAATAGGCACGGTGCCAGTGGGGGCACGGCTGGGGGCCTGGAGTGACCTGGGCACACTGGGAGTGACCTGGGGGGACTGGGGGTGAACTGAAGGCCTGCGAGAGAACCGGGCATACTGGGAGTGATCTGGGGGCACTGAGGGTGACCATGGGGCCCTGGGGGTGAACTGGGGGCACTGGGAGCAGCCAGAGCCCACCCTGGTGCAGTCTGGGTGCAGCAGGGTTGGATGGATTCAGCTGCACAAGGAGGGCTCTAAGGAGGCTGGAGCTGGCACCCCACAGAGGGTACTGAGCCCCACACAGTGCTGGGAGCTCCTTTGGGGACCCCAATTCCTCTTAAAGCTCCATCCTAGGGAGCTCTGCCTCCAGGTGTGTCCCATTGCCACCTCCCCACAGGGGGTGACAGTCACCACCGAGGGGGGACCCTCCCTCCCGGCAGGCAGCACATTCCAGCAGCTCATTCCCAGGGAATGGTTCCTCCATCCCTGCAGCATCCAGCCCTCGACCTGGTAAGTTCTGGGGTGGTTCGCACCCCTGGGGTGCTGGCAGGTCTCTGTCTGCTCCTCTGTGGGTGACAGAAATGCGTGACGGGGGCACCACGGCGCCTCTGCTCACCCCAGCCCCACACCCCGCCTGTCCCGCTCCCGGTTTGGGATGGAGGATGAGGAGGGGCGCCCTTACCGCCAGGAAGATCTGCGTGGCGCTGCTCACCACCTCGATGTACTGGTAGTCGAGCAGGCAGCCGCTGACGGTGATGACGTGGTGATCCTCGGGCGCCAGGTTGGAGTTGAGCACCGGCGTCACCAGGCAGCCCGGGCCGTTCTCCATCCACCACGAGCGGTGCAGGGAGGTGTTGAAGGTCATGATGAAGTCTCGGTCCTGCAGGAGGAGGAGGATGGTGGATCCGAGGCTCTTTGCAGGAGGGCTGCACAGTAAATGAGCTTTCCAAGGCAAGGATGCTCCCTGAGGTCAGAGCAGGGCATCTCCCTGAGCCCCAGCCCCAGGGTTTGGGGCTTCCTCCCGTTCTGGCACCGTGGACATCCAGGTAATGCCCAGGTGACAGGGTGGGTGTCACAGAGCGGGCACCAGAGTGGCAGGGAAGGTGTTTGTGATGGTGCCTCCTGCCATCCCGAGGATGGGAGCATGGCAGCACCCCACTAGCATGTTCCAGGGATGCAGGGCAGCCCCTGCTGCTTCCTCTGGGCTATTGGGGTGCCATGCCCTCATCCCACTCCCAGGGAGCCTTGCAGGGTCCCCCTGGAGCATGTCCCCTCCTTGTCAGCCCCCCACAAGCTTTGGGGCTCTGCCTGGGTCCTCTCCAGCAGCTGTGGGGTGGCCTTGGGCAGGCAGCAGCCCCTGGCTGCCTCTTTCCACCCCATGAGGGTCCCCCTGGGGAGCCCCCACCCCCCAGAGAGCCCCCCCAGCCCCTCTCCGCCTCCCCGGCTGTGCTGGGGCTGAGCCTCCCCCGCAGGAAATCACCGATCTGGGATGAAAAGATTTTTGCTGCTGTGGGCGGCAAAAACCCCGAAAGGGAGCGAGTGGGTTTGGGTTTGTGGAGCTGGAGGATGTGGCTGAGGCACAGGGACAGGGGAGCTGTGACGGGCACCGGGGATTTCCACAAAAATCCGCGGTGGGAGGGAATCCTCCCCCTCTCCCCATCCTGCTGCGCGCCCAGCGCTCCGGGAGAGCCTCAAATGACCTGGAGCTGCTCGGGGAGACGTTCCCAGCCATGGAACACCCCCAGAGGCTTTGCCCTGCTTGGGACAGCACGGAGAGAGTGGAGCTGGCTGTCCCCAGCCCTCCGTGATGTCCCCAGATCCGGGGAGGGACGCACAGGGACCCCGACCCTGGGCTCAAAGGTTCCCTCAGAGCACCCGGTGCTGCCCCATCCCCGCGGGAAGTTTTGCTCTTTTTGGTGTAAAAGCTGTCATTTAACAGCCAGGGTGTGGTGGAGGCACAGCCCCATCACATCCTCACCCCATGGCCGCACAGTGACCTCCCAAAGCCGGGAATGCTGATCCCGGTGAGCCCCATAAATTCCGGGAAAATTTGGAATACACAGCAGGGGGGTCTCCTCCTCGCACCCACTGCCCTCCCCATCCCTGCCAGAGACCCTGCCCCAAGCTTTCCTGCCCTGCTCAGCCCGTTCCCGGTGTTCCGCCTCTCCTTTGTCCCCTCAGTGGAGATAAAGGAAATTCAGTTCGGGTTCGGAGGCGACCGCTCGCTCCACTCTGAGCTGTCGGTTTGTCCATCCCATCCCACGGGAATTCCGTGCTCCGGGGAGGCAGCCCCGGCATCCGCTTTGCTGCGGGGCTGGGGCACCCCGGGCCCGGGGGGGCACTTTTGGGGGAGAAGGAAGGGGAGGAGGATGAGGCTGCCAAGGGCGGGCAGGACGGAGGGACGGAGGGAAGGATGGAGGGAAGGAGGGTGCAGGGAGGAAGAGGAGGAAGGCGGGAGTGTTACCTGCGACAAGCGCCCGACCTCCAGGTAGAAGCAGATGATGAAGGCGTTCCAGCCGACCCACAGCACCAACCACACCGCGTACTGCAGGAGAGACGGGTCAGGGCACGGGCACCTCCTCCAGCCCCGGGCACCTCCTCCGGCCCCCCGCACCTCCTTCGGCCCCGCCGCAGCCTCTCCGCAGCCCGTCCAGCCCCGCTCCAGCCCCGTTCCAGCCCCGCTGCGTCCAGGGGGTCCCGGTTGGGATTGTGGAACCACAAAATCACAGCACGATTTGGGGTGGAAGGGACCTTAAAGTTCATCAATCAGGGGAGAACCCATGGAGGCGCCAGGCATCATCCCAGCCTGCGTTAATGAGCCCTAATTGCAGGGCAGAATTAATGAGGTGGGGAAGGTGCTTGCCTGAGTTGTTCCCGAGGAAGTACATCCACCAGCTGTGCCCCAGTTTCCCCAAGCATCAAAATCCAAATACTCACTGAATTTCCTTTGGGAGGGCTCTAATTCCCACCCCTGTCATGGCAGGGACACCTCCAAATCCCACTCCAAGCCCTGTCCAGCCTGGCCTTGGGCACTTGCAGGGACGGAGCAGCCAGAGCTGCTGTGTTCCCAGGGGTACAGGAGGGACCTGGGGCTGAGCGTGCTGCACCCCCAGGGTGGTACCTACCATCATGAGGTATCTGGATCTGTACTGGATGGTCCCAAAAATACCCAAAATCACAGCCATGATGTGCAGGAAGTTCGCCAGGATGGGGGCCCACTGGTATCCCAGGAAATCAAAGATCTGCCTCTCCAGCGCCGCGACCTGCAACAGAGCGGGGAGGGGCAGGGATCAGGGCCGGGCACCCCCGGGGTGCTGAGGTCAAGGAGCAGCTGGGAATTTTATCTTTTCATTTTCTTCCCTAGTAAAGAACTGTTATTCCTGCTCCCATGTTTTTTGCCTGAAAGCCCCTTAATTTAAAATTTTTAGCAATTCAGAGGGAGGGGGTTTGCATTTTCCATTTCAGGGGAGGCTCCTGCCTTCCTTAGCAGACACCTGGCTTTCCAAACCGAGACAGAATCACTGGGAATTCCGGGAACAATGGGCTGCAGTAGGCTGGAATGTCTGTGTGGTGCCTTGGCCAGCAGGACTGGGGTTATTGGGGATATTTGGAGCTAAAAGAGGAACCCAAGGAGATGTGACCCCACAGCACCCGCTGTGCCTCACTGCCCAGCACTCAGAGCTCAGGCACTGCTGAAAACACATCCCAGAGGATGAGTTATGGTGGGAAAAGCCTCCAGCTCCCATGTTTTGATTTCCAGCCCATCCTCAGTAGATCCATCGGGCTCTGATGGCTGTTACCATCTGTGATCCACAAACAGGGCCGTGCTGAGGTGGGTAAATGCCCCCAGCAGGACTGGCAGCTGAGGGGATCCAGCCCTGATCCCAGCACTTATTTATGGCTCCACTGCTCCTAATCACAGGATTAGCTCCAAGGAAGGGCTGAGCAAAGGCAAGGTGGGAGTGCTGGAATGTTCAATGATGGGTTTAATTAAAAAAATGGGGATTCTGGATGAGGTAATGGTTTTTTTAGAGAACTTTTAAGGGAGTTTTAAACTGGCACACCACAAGGTGCAAGGATAGGTCAGCAGCAGCCTGGAAAACTCGATTTTTTTTTTTTTCCAATTGTCTTACTCAGCCCTGTCCTGTCACTTTTTGAGGCACCCCAGATTCACCCTGAGAGCTTCAGGGCCCCCTGTTCTCCTCACAGCACCATTCCCCAATTTTCTGCCTGAAAAAGGGGGAGTTCATCCTGAAAACCACAGGAAAAAGGATTTCCATCCCCCCTCCATTCCCCAGCAGTTCCCAAAGGCATCTGGAGTTAGGGGAGAACCTGAGGGGTCCCAGGCATCATCCCAGGCTGAGTTAGTGAGCCCTGATTACAGGGGAGAATTAACTAGGTGGGAAAGTGCTTGCCTGAGTTTTTCCCGAGGATGTTCACCCACCAGCAGTGCCTCAGTTTCCCCATACATCAAACTCCAAATACTCATTGGATTTCCTTTGTGAGGCCTCTAATTCCCATGGATTTCAGCCCAGCTCCACTCTAGGGCTGTGATATGCCATCCCCTACCCTACCCCTGGGGGAGGATCTGCTGGATTGGTGCCAGCAGGACCCTGATTTTAATTAATGAGCGATGCAAACCCTTGGAGCAGCAGCCCCTGGGTCTGTGGGGCCGGAACAAGGCTGTTTGCACTGAAACTGAATTCACTTCCCTGCTCGTTCAGCTCTCTGAGGAAACAGCCCCTGGAAATACTCACAGCTGGGCTGTAAATCTCCTCAATTGAGGAATGTAAATAATAAATGATACAGGGAGCGCAGTGCTCGGGGTTTATGGCCACCCATCCGTCTGGGGGCTGTCGGTGCAGCTGCTTCACAGGGGCTGGATGGGAGCTTTGGGTACCAGGGATGCTCCCAGCTGAGCCTCTGAGGATCCCATGGAGCTGGAGTGAAGGGATCACACCCGTGTGGCTCCTTAATTCCAGCCTGAAAGAGGAGGAGCTGGGAAGACCCGGCTTGAAGCAAACCCTTCTCCATCCCAAAGGGGCAGGATTTGGGATAAACACCCCAGTTTCCCATGCATGAGCTAATTAGGGGCTGCCAATTGCATCACAAAGCTCTGCTGAGCCACCCCAGCAGGTGCAGTCCTGCTCCCTGGGTGTTATTCCAGCTTTTTTCCTCTGTGGGAATAGCAGATCTTGGATTTTCCACCCTTGTGGGATGCAGCTTAAGGTTAAGGGACAAACAGAGACTCACAAAGGCAGCGTGGCTGCAGCTCCCCGGCTCTCAGTGCCTGCTGAGGGCATCCCAAGGGCAGCCCAAGGGCAGCCCCACGTGTGTCATGAGTGGGGAAACTGAGGCACAGCCTCCAGAGGAGAGTCCAGGTTTGGTGCCCCTGTCCAGGGAACTGCAGGGCTGAGCGAGCACCCGCAGCTCAGAGCTGCTCCTCGGGCTGCTCCAGCCCCCGGAGCATCGCCCCCAATCCTGTGGGGGTAAAATGTCCCTGGGAGGGACCTTCAGGACCCCCAGCCCTTCAGTGACAGCAGCTCTGGCTCTGGGGCTCAGCATCATCCCAAGAGACTTCCCAGCAGCATCCAACAGAGCCAAAATTGTTCCGTGGGCTCAGAGCATCCTCCCTGCCCCTGGAATGGGAATTCCCGCTGCTCCCAGCACCCCCAGCCCCATCCACACACCCCTCCCCTCCCAGCCCCAGCGCCTCCGGAGCTGGGATGCAAACACCGTCCCACTGCTAATTAAAATAAACTGCGGCTGATCAATGCAACGAGTTTTAGGGCTCCCTCTTAATTAAACACTCACGAGTTCATCGATCGCCCCAAAACTTCGCTCTGCAGCAAATCACAGCAATCAGCTGGGGCGGGCGCTGGTCCCGCTCATCCCAGCCTGAAAGGGATTTGTTTGCACCGGGAAATTGGAGGGACCGAGCTCCATCAGTGGGTGAGGGGAGGGCAGCGCCAGGAGGGGACACCCGTGGGGACACAAGCTCAGCCGGGGCTCAGGGAGATGGCACCAGGGAGGCAGAGCTGGAGGAAAATGGGATTTGTCCAGCGTGCTGGCACCAAATTTAAGAGGGAAGGAGTTCCTCTCTCCGTGAATCAGCCATCGGTTTTGGCGCCCTCGCCTTCTTTCAAACCCATCCCATCGCTCCAAGCTTTCCCAGTCCTTAATCCCCACGAGGAGGGTGGGAGAGCTCGGTCCTGCTCTGGCTGTGCCGAGAGCATGGCAGGGTCACCATGGTGCCCCTTCCCCACCACAGCTGAGAGACCAAGCTTGGAAATCCGACAAGGGGGGAGTGCTGGGTGAACACCCCAGACCCAGCACCTTTGGAAAGCAGGAACTTTCCTGCCCAGCAGCCCCTCCTGGAACCAGAGAATCCCACAATGGTTTGGGTTGGAAAGGACCCTAAATGACCTTGAATCCCAACCCATTCCCACGGCAGGGACACCTCCCACTGTCCCAGGTGCTCCCAGCCCCAATGTCCAGCCTGGCCTTGGGCACTGCCAGGGATCCAGGGGCAGCCCCAGCTGCTCTGGCAATTCCAGCCCAGCCCCTCCCCAGCCTGCCAGGGAACAATTCCCAATTGCCAAGATCCCATCCAGCCCTGCCCTCTGGCAGTGGGAGCCATTCCCTGTGTCCTGTCCCTCCATCCTTGTCCCCAGTCCCCCTGCAGCTCTCCTGGAGCCCCTTCAGGCCCTGCAAGAGCTCTGAGCTCTCCCTGAATCCTTCTCTCTCTTTCCTGGAGCAGTCAGGACCTGCAGCTGGCGCTGGGCAGGGTCCTGGAACAGTCCCACAGCAGCATCTGCACCTCGGGCTGAGCTCTGAGCTCCCCTCCGGGCCGGGCTGCTGACCCCCCGATGGGTCATTGTCCCGCAGCCGGGTGATTTCCTCCCGCACACCATATGCCCGAGGCTCGCCAGGGATTGAACTTTTCATTTCGCCGCGTTTTGAGGAGATTTGGCCATTCTGATTCCTCGTGTGCCCCGGACGAAGATGCTGCGAGAGCCTCGCTCGCCCCGTCCCTGAGCCTCCGCCATCTCTGGGAGGTTTGGTCCCAAAAAACATCGGGGTTCGGAGAGAACCCCCCGGGGCAGCGTTTGGCAGGGCAGTGGGATGCCCGATCCATAAGGAATGTTCTCCACAGCCCCGGGCTGAAGGAGCATCCCTGGAGCTCCGGCCCCGCCCCAGGGACAGCCTCACCCAGTCCCTCCCCGAAGGTGCTCCAGGACCCCCCATCCCCACCCCGACCCCCTAGCAGGTTCACCCTTCCCCCAGCCGCTCTTTTTGAGGCAGTTTAGGGCATTTTGGCTCTGCCAACGCCTTCCCTTGCCCATGAGGAGCCCCAGGAGCCGTGGAAGCTGCTCCATCCCGCAGCCCTGGCCCTGGAAGGGGAATCGGCCGTGATTTAAATGAGAGGAGAGCGCGGTTGGTTATTAGGGAGGTGCAAACACCGCTGTGAACCCAGGGACTTCATTTAATGACTTGGAAACAAGTTCCTGACCTACTTCCATCTGCAAAAGCCTTCATAAAATCACAGACAGAAAGAAATGAAAGGCGCCGATCCCTGTCCAGCACCGGGTGGGGATGAGCAGGATGCAGCCCCAGCTGGAAAGAGACCCCGATGCAGGAGCAAAACCACGGCAGGAGCAGAAACTGGGGTGAAAGAGACACAAATCGGGTCCTTCCCCAGCTGGGACAGTCCCTGGTGGATGCTGTAGGTTTTGGGGTCCCTTTGAACCCCCCAGGTGGGAGCTCCCAGCGCATGGTTGGAGCATCCCTGGTCCCCGGGATGTGGCACTGGGGACACTTGGGGTGTGCCAGGGCCCCTCAACACCCACTGTCCACCCCACAGCTTCCCTTCCTCTCTCCTATCCGATCCCCCCTCCCCTTTCCCAGTTATTTATTTCATTTCCCTGCATCCGGCGGCGTTGCCATGGGAACGCAGCCCCGGCTGGATGCGCCTGTCCGGACGCTGCACCCCGGGATCCCGAAGGAATCTGCTCCATGGAATGCGCCCCTGGGGGCGTCCCCACCCCTCTGACCCCCGGGGACCCCAGGGTGCCACCCCTTGGGTGCCCTCCAAGCCCTGCTCCCACATCCGTGCCCCTGGCTCTGTTCATCCCTGAGGTTCCATCAGGGAGGGCTGGGAAATGCAGCCTTGGGGGGGCTAATGGCCATAAATTATTATTATTATTATTACTATTATTATTATTATCCATAAATGTAGCTGATCAAACCTGACCCATCCTGT